TTCCCAATGATGGATGGAGTGACAACCTTCTTAAGGGTTTGAGTCCATTTTTCTTTTTTGTTTTTAGTAGTTAGTAGTTAAGGGTGCCTCAATCAAAGCTTCACTTGGGCCTAGCATATTTTCCTAGAATATGTGAATGACATGGAATAGGTCCATCAAGATGAACATATGACTGTGGATGTAGAGGTTCATACCCCTAAGCCAAAGAAAACCAAGACTTCTTTCAAGAAGTCTTCATCTGTTTCCAAGGCTGCTAAACCTTCTTCCTTGGCTAAAAGAACAAGGTCTGCTGTGAAAGCCAGGCAAGTTAAGATTACTGAAGAAGAAGATTGGAGTGGTGAAGAAGAGGGTGAATCTGACTATGAGCAAGATAAGCTGGCCAATTTTGGCAAAAGAAAAATCTTGAAGGGTAGACTTTTGAAGGATTTGGTGGAACCAAGGATGGTTCGATTGGTTGATGCTCTAGCTGCTCAGGGTTGGAAGGACATGGTCCTTCAGTTGGATGGTAGGCTAGAAAGGAATGAGGTTATTGAATTCATGGCCAATGCAGAGGTCAAGGATGGTAGAGTTACCAGCCAGGTGAAAGGGGTTCAAATGTCTTTTGATGCAAATGAGCTGGGTGAGATCCTTGACATCCCTTCTAAAGGGTACGATGACTACACAAGGCAAATATGGCCAAGTCTAGACTCCCTTCCTACTGCCCTCGCAATTACTAAGAAATTCTGTGATGTCACAGAAGTGAATGAGGCCAAGGTTGTGCATAAGAGTGAAATGAAGCCATGCCACAAAGTCCTGTTTGAATTTGTCAACAAGTGTTTGCTGCCTAGGCAGGAAAGAAGGCACATTACTAACTACATAGACTTGGTTTTGATGGAGTGTCTTGAAAGTGGAAGGCAAAACAACTGGCCTGCATTTATTATCAAGCTGCTGGATAGGGTTATCAATGGCTCCAAGTCCCATGCCACTCCTTATGTATTTATTCTGACTACTGTTCTTAATCGTTGCAATGTGCCACTGAAGAAGTGAGAAATTGTCACAAGCAAAGACCATTTTGGAATAAACACTTTGATTGCTTGTGACTATGAGGTCAATGCCATTCCCAATGAACCTGGTTCATCTAAAAAGATACCTATCAATAGCAAAGTCAGAGCTCTTGTGCAGGAGAGTGAGACAAAGGATGCTGAGATAATTAGGCTGAAGGCTCATTTAGCAGAGGTTGAATCTGAGAGAGATGCTCTCAAAACTGAGCTCACAAAGGAAAAAGAGAAGAATGATGGCATTCTTCAAGACATGCTGCACCTTCTCCAAGACAAAACCCAACCCTCTAGTTCTTTAAAGCCTTAAGTTCTTTAGCCTTCAGTTCCTAAACCTTATCTAGACCTTTCAGTGACTCAGATTAGGGATTTTTCTTGTTTTGCTCATATTTTGACTGTTTTTGTTTCTTTTTGTGGATTGTGGCAGAATCATATTCTCTATCAATAAAGTTTGCTATTTTTGCTCTTGTTGACTGTTTATATTTCCTTGATAGTTTTAATATGTTTGGTTGATTACTGATGATTAATCCATGATTGCACTTGCAGTTGCCCCAGTGGCCATGAGTAATTGTTAAAGTTCTGGGAATCACACTGTGTTTATGCAACTTTTCGATGATGCCAAAAGGGGGAAGAGATATTGTGCTTTATATTCTAAATAAGTTATGTTTATAACCTAATGAACTTGGTCCTTGAAGATAAGTAAAAAATTTCTAACTTTGCATTGATGAATAAGATGAGTTTTGACAGGGCTTAAGTGAGTGAAAAGCACAGAGTTTGTCATCATCAAAAAGGGGGAATTTGTTGCCCAAGTAAAGGTGAGTTTTGAAGACTGAAAAAGGAACTCAGACATGGACCAGATCCATCCTAGTGAAGCACAGATATGGTCAACTCAAGCATGTGAGATGCACGTGAAGGAGATAAACCTTACTTACCAGAAGTGATATCTCCTGATCCAGATCGAAAAGGTTGCATATTAGATAAGGAGAAAGACTCCTTACTCAAAGAGAACACGGTTTAAGAGATGGATAGAGTTAGTGTTTGAGATCAACTAGAACTCCTCCACCAAGGAAGAGTAGCATCAGTATTCTAGTCAATATCTATTTACTAAATCCTTAAATATCAGTGTTGTTCTCTTTTACAGGTAACGCACATAAGCAGAAGTTAAATGTGAATTGAGAGTAAAATAGCAAGGCAATTTTGCAAGCAATTTATGTGTGTTTCAAGCGTGCAATCCTGAAGCTAGTTGAACCAGATAGAAGAACCAGTTCCAAGTGTCTATCTTTTATTCTAGTTCAATTGTAGTAGGTGTTTTCATATTGTACCTTTCAGCTTTATCTAGAAGCAATTGTATTAAGTACTTAGAGTTTTCAAGTTAGAGTTAATTGAAGTTGTCGCAACAGTTGAGGCTGTGTTCTACAACGGGATTAGAGTTAATCCTAGGTTTACAAAAGAGTTTTTGGCTCGGTTATTTTAGTGGAGAGTTTGGAAAAATCCTACTGGAAAGTAGGTCGTGGTTTTTTTCACCTTTTGAGCCATATTTTTTCCACGTAAAATCTCTGTGTTCTTTAATTTCTGTACTTATTATTCTGCAACAGTAGTAGTTGAAACACATAGAAGAACTAGGTCCTTCTATAATCAGGTTAAATAAAAAATTGGACACCACCAAATCACACCCCTCCCCTCTATGTGGTATTGAAGTATAAAACATCAATATAATTTATTTTATGATAAGCATATAATCATAAGTTATAATAATTAATAAATTGACAAAATTTTCTCAATAAAAAATAAATATACAACAACAACAACCCAGTAAAATCCCACAAGTGGGGTCTGGAGAGGGTAGCATGTACACAGACCTTACCCCTACCCCAAAGGAGTAGAGAGGATGTTTTCGGAAGACCCTCGCTCAAGATAATAAGAAAAATAAAAAGGAGAGAATATTAGTTTCACCACAGAGATCATAGGAAAAATAGGAACATAAAATGCAGAAGGAAAAATGCAAAACAAAAATGATGGCTAGTAAATAGGTCCTACACCGAAAAACCAAATTGTAAGACAATACAATACCCCTAGCTATTTCAGACAAAAACCCTACCAGAACAGGCTCACAACACTACAAGGTAATGCAAGACTCAGCTACCTTCTAGCCTACAACCGTAATACTTGACCTCTATAACTTCCTATCAAGTGTCATGTCCTCGAAAATCTGAAGCCTCACCATATCCTGCCTGATCACCTCTCCCCAATACTTCGTAGGCACCCTCTACCTCTTTTCGTTCCCTCCACAATCAGTCGCTCACACCTCCTTACTGGAGCATCTGGGCTTCTCCTCTATACATGTCCGAACCATCTGAGCCTCGCTTCCCGCATCTTGTCATCAATGGGAGCCACGTGCACCTTCTCCCGAATATCATCATTTATAATCTTGTCCATTCTAGTGTGCCCGCACATCCACCTCAACATCCTCATTTTTGCTACTTTCATCTTTTGGATATGTGAGTTCTTAACAGGTCAACACTCAGCCCCATACATCATGGCTGGTCTAACCACCGCTTTATAGAACTTACCTTTGAGTATCGTTGGCACTCTCTTGTGCGGATGCTAACCTCCACTTCTTCCATCCTACCCCAATACGGTGTGCGACATCCTCATCGATCTCCCATCCCCCGTGGATAACCGAACCAAGGTACTTGAAGTTTCCTCTACTTGGGATAACCTGTGATTCAAGCCTCACATCCACGCCCACTTCCCCCGGCTTAGTGTTTAACTTACACTCCAGGTATTCCGTCTTTGTTCTGCTCAGCTTGAAACCTTTAGACTCAAGAGTCTGTCTCCAAACTTCTAGTCTCTCGTTAACACCGGCTCGTGACTCATCAATCAGAAATATGTCATCGGCAAATAGCATGCGCCATGGCACCTCCCCTTGAATATGGTTTGTTAATGCATCCATCAACAGGGCGAATAAGAACGGACTGAACGCAGAGCTTTGGTGTAACCCCATTTCAACCAGAAAATGCTCAGAGTCGCCTCCTACTGTCTTAACCCGAGAAACAAATACTGAAGAGAAACAAATACTGTCTTTATCACGACAATACTTAGAAAGCAATACACCAAAATTTTGATATGTCCTTATTTATTATATACAGTTCAAAGATTAATACACAATCACATAAATACAAATATGCAAATGAATAGGGAATTTGCTTATCTTAACAGTCAATGAGAATTGCAAACTTGAAGAGGCGGGGGGGGGGGGGGGGGGG